GTCGCTAAAGTTTCGTCAGAACGAATTTACGGAAAAATTAACTAACGACTAGAGGCGTAACAATATGTATGTTTTATTATTGTAAAGTACTGTACTATCTACAGGCTTAGTAGTTATTAATTGTTAATTTAAACAATTCTGTACAACAATAGTATATTAGCTGACATGTGTGCACAACAGAAATAACATGCTACATTCTTCTGAGGTGCTTTTCCATAAACAACTTGTATACAGTTTCAATGTTGATAGCAATGTCATAATGATTATGTATTAAATTTAAAACCAGAGCGCTCTGTCTTAGTAGCAGTGTTTTTACATCACAAAATAGGGTTCGGACCTTCCACGTAACGTCCAGTCCACGTAACGTTAACGAATTAATTTATTTCTTATATAACCATTGCTACAGGTTACGTCCACTTGTAAACAAGTTGAAGGCCTAAGTTCACAAGCAACATTACCACTATGAACAGAAACTGCGATACTAATGTTACGTACGCCTAACTGGCAAATACAAAATTGCCTTACAGAATTTCTTGGCTTATCTATTGAGTGATTGAACAGACGCGATAACTCTCACCGTGTAACACTGAACTAAATAAAATAAGGAAATAATTGTAGCTTAAAATATTTCTATCATAAATCGCTAAGGGCAAAAAATGCTGATTTAGGCCAATTTCGAACTATGTGATTTAAGTATAAAACAAATTTACAATTCACATGCTTGACTTGCAATCTGCGGGTTGCGGGTTCGAATCTCCGTCCCACAAAACATGCTCCCCCTTTCAGCCGTGGGGGCGTTATAATGTGCGGTCAATCCCACTATTCGTTGGTAAAAGAGTAACCCAAGAGTTGGCGGTGGGTAGTGATGACTAGCTGCTTTCCTTCTAGTCTTACACTGCTAAATTAAGGACGGCTAGCGCAGATAGCCCTCGTGAAGCTCTGCGCGAAATTCAAAACAAACAAACAAACAATCAACTTGCTTGGTTGAATATATTTTTAATATTACTTAGGTTACAAAAATGAAAACTCGTAAGAGATTTTTTATATATTCTGAAAACTGTCCTCCGGCAGATAAATATTTAGTTCCTCTTTAAGAAATGTAAGGGCCATAGACAACTGGCCATAGACAGTGACAGTAGAAGCTGAGACGTTGTGGGTGTAAGGACTCGGCTTCGTACCCTTATTTGATTGATTTTTTTATGATTTTCCATGACGGCTGAGTAGATTGACATCGGCGTTTGGATTTTGTCTGATAGATGGGATATCCTCAACGCATTTGTGTGCTATTACCACAAACATTATCCGTTATTACAATAAGTTGACAACCAGGACCGATAACGATAATGCGATATATATATATTCGTTTATTTATATCGTGAGATGGTCAGTTATTCGTTACTACTTTAAAAATATCCTTTAAATCAAAATTAACAAAAAAAAAAGAGCAAACTGTGACATTTTTCTTCGGGAGTTTAAGAGTTTTATCATAACTAATTTCGTCGTTTTTGTTAATTGGATAAATATACGAACATTATTCTGCTTTTTGTTTTATTTTTCACCCAGTTAATATGGATCTAATGCCTGTTAAGTTAGAATAATAGTCATGTTGTTAAAACGCTTCAAATCAAAACTTTTGACCATTTTTTTTATTTTTTTACCTTTGAAATGCCTTTCGTGTTACATTTTAATTGAACATAAGTATTAATGATGAAAACGATCGTTTTCTATGAGAGTCCAAATCATGACATGATATCGACATTGGCAGTAATGGCATCATAGGCCGAGACTGAAGAATTTACTAAGTGTATTGTTATGTTGAGATCAACGTCATGTTTGGTCGTTAAGGCCCTTGGGGCAATCAATCTCTGCCTGTCGTTATTTGAAAGAGAACGTCCACATCAGTAGTAGTTCTATTCCAAAGATAATTAGCCAAGTTTCTTCCAAAGCAATATTTTTTTTTTGTCGTTTCATTCCATTTTTAACAAGGTAGAATTATTTCCAATAAAATTTTGAAAAGTTAGCGTTTTATTATTTTTGTTATAGCAATATTGTTATATCAGCTGAAAAAAAAAAGCTCTCCGTTAGTCTCCTTCTTTTAATAATTTATAAGAGAATAAAAAGTGTTGGATGTAGAAATTTCAGTCACGAAATTCCACATATTCATCACAGAGGATAACAAAAACATGAATGGCGTATATTATTCATAGTTCGGGTTGTCTCGAATTCAAACTTTTTTTATTTTGCATTTTGTGACTTTCAAAGTCACCACCTTTATTCAAAGAACAACGTCTAAGCATATACTGAATTCTAATTTGTTATATCGTGACAATTGTTCACAACTGTAAATTTTTTGTTTTTTGTTCCATGATGCAACGAATTAAATAATAAAACAAACAAACAAACATTGGGCACTTGTTTCAACAAATGTATACACAAACCAGTGATAATAGGTCTTTCGTGCGTTTGCATGAAACCGTGTCACAGGACTACATGGTCATGCCAGGCCTAATCCATACCTTTATTAAACTTACGCACGTGCTGTGAAAATCAAACACGAAGTTAAAAAGATAGTCGTTACTGAGCACGTGTTGTAAAAGTCAGTAAAACAAAGTAAAAATCAACAACTTTTTATTGGACTTATCTTGTGTTATGAAAATTAAAAAGAAAGTAAAAAAAAAGTAATATTTAATAAACCTAAACGTGTAATGGGAGCTTTACATGTGACGTCACACAAGAGATTTGTCAGAGTTTATAGTATTTTAATACTTTTCTTTGAAGCTGTTAATCGTAATGAATATTTTAGTACGGGATACTTCACTTGTAAACATGTTAATATTTCGTTATTTCGCTTGAAATTTATTCCACTTTCATTAAGAGGTTTAACATCAGAAAAGTTAGGTTACGCTTTCAAAATATTTGAGTCCAAAATAAATTTTCAACTTTTCCAATTTTCTGAAATAGAAACAAGGAACAGGTGTTGGATAAATGACACTTGAAAACTGCGTGGAATTATTTTATATTTTATTTACAACGAACAGAACATTTCGTACACGTATAATTGAACCGTAGCTAACACAACAAACGTCATTTTTTATCTATGAAGAACGTACATAGTAGTGAATTTAATATTAATTTCCATAAGCCTTACAAGTTTCCATCACCAAAACGTTTTGATAAACTTTGCTCCGTAGATTAGTTACAACGATTAGCATTTAATATGACACATTTTTAACACGTTATCAGGTATATTGAAATAAAACTTAATATAAAGGCACTTTTTTTTTTTTTCAGTATCATCCTCATCAAATTCTACGATATAAAAGATAATGTCTTGCGACCTACGTCACAAAACTACAGTTATGTTCACGACATTGAATGTGGAAACTCGGTTATTTAAAGCAGTTCTGTACACAATGTTGAATTGCAGAACAGTTTGGTTATATACGTTTGATAACTATTCGCCGTAGTTCAACTAACCCAGAAATCATACAAATTCTGGGGGTTTATCTCGAGGTATTCCCCACAATGAGACACGAGTTCTATGGGGTTTTATCTAGTGATATCCCTCACACTGAGAATTTATAACCGCCTCTTATTGAGCTTTACATTTTATGGACATATCGTTGACTAACTAGATAATGTTCATACCACATTTCTAGAGGCTGCGCTTCTTGAGTATTATACTGTTATGATCTAATTATCTGGTAGAGTCAGTGCTCGAACTAAGGGGGGGAGGAGGACTCTGTTTCCATTGTTAAAATAATCTTTGATTTTGTTCCTCTTTTTTAACCAAACCATGCGTAAGGGGGATGGAGGTCACGTTTCGAGATCTGAGACCTCACAGACTGACCTAGACGATACACTTGTGTACAGCTGCTGTCGTACCGATTTATTCTCTGTCAAATATGATCTCCATCAGTCATGGGGAGGGTTTGCAAAGTTATTGATAAGTCCATATTTTCTTGTAATTAATTGATTAAAGAGATAATTTAAATTCATATTTTTTCGTTATATTTGTGGAGTTATACTTCACCAAGTAGTTAGGACAGGCCAGGTGGTTAGGGCGCTCGACTCGTAATCTGAGGGTCGCGGGTTCGAATCCCCGTCACACCAAACATGCCAACCTCCGCCTTTGCCTGGTCCCAAGTCCAGGATGAGCAACTCCACCCCGTAAAAACCAACCTGCTACAGGTAACTGCAACAACACCTTCCGTTGGCGAGGTGTTGTTGCGGCCCTATGCTCCACTGGGAGTTTACAGGAATGAAAAAAAAGTAGTTAGGACAACAGTTTCAACGTTTCGGTTTGAGTTGAGGGGGGTTATATGATTTACGAGAAGACTGCTCTCCATGTGGGTAGAATTGTCCACCATGACTAAGTATATATAAATATATACTGTATATACGCACACACACACAGCACATCAGCATTAAATCCTCTTCGCAAACCACTAATTCATTCTAATATATTTTAAGAGTCAGCGTCCGACAAAATCTGTTTAGTCCTTCGTAGATACGATTTTAAAAATGCACCAAAATTACATGTCTGATGCTTCTCTTTTGTTTCCACAATAAATCGATTTAGGAATTGCATGCAATTTAATAAGTTGACAGAATCCAGCAATAGTTTTTGTTTGTTTGTTTGTTATTAAGCACAAAGCTGCACAATGGCTTATGTGTGCTGTGCCTACCACGGGTATCAGAATTCGGTTTCTAGCGTTATAAAGTCCGCAGACTTTACCGCGGTGCCACTAGGGACGAATCCAATAATAATCGGGTATCACACTATATTATTTTGTTTTAAAGACTACTCGTAACGTTCTCTATATAATGAGATACAGCTTTGTATCATAAGTGTTACTTATGATTCTTATTGGTCAAGATTTTTTTTTCTTTTGAGTGAAAAAAAATAAAATATTTTTCCCACATCCATTATAATAATCAATATTTAGTAACTATTAATTCTAATATGGTACCCCCCCACCCAACCACCCCAAAAATAAAAATAATATAACTTTGGAATAATGATGATTAATAAAATAATTTTCCCCAAGAAAGAAAGCTGCTGTTAAAAGGTAGGATCAAACTCTGAACTTGAGACTAAATTGCCACAGAATTAGGGATTATCTCTGGATCAAGCCAGGTGTAGGCGCACTTCCGTGTCTCATTTCTTTTTTTGATTTTTTCGCTGATGTTTTTAAGCTCTTCTACAAACCTGAAAAGGAAAGGAAAAAGTTTCTTTTTAAAACTATTTATACAAAGTCATTACTTGTGTAGTTATATAGCCATCTTTTATCGGACTTGAGATTTCAAACTAATGGTATGTTTGGCTGGAGTTTTGGAGAAATCGTGTAGACTGCTCTTTCAATTTTAATTATAACACGATTCGTATCAAATTAGTAAGAATTTTTCTTGACACTTTTTAGAGTTGCTTAGAAAAAAAAAGGATTAATTTATAGAAACTTTGAAAATGTACTTTCTCGTTGGAACAGGCTGTGTCATTATAGTCCGTTTCATTGTAAAATATTAGTACTTAATCAAGCTGTGGTTATACTTTGGTCATTAACTAAATGGTTTGTATCCTCTAGCCGACCTTATTAAGTCCAGCACTTTGACCATTAACGGTTTATATCCTACAGCTGATCCTGTGAAATCAAGCATTTTGGCCATTAACTAAATGGTTTGTATCTTCTAGCCGACCTTATTAAGTCCAGCATTTTGGACATTAACTAAATGGTTTGTATCCTCTAGCCGACCTTATTAAGTCCAGCACTTTGGACATTAACTAAATGGTTTGTATCCTCTAGCCGACCTTATTAAGTCCAGCACTTTGGACATTAACTAAATGGTTTGTATCCTCTAGCCGACCTTATTAAGTCCAGCACTTTGGACATTAACTAAATAGTTTGTATCCTCTAGCCGTCCTTATTAGTCGTCGTTTTTTTTGCCTATTTTATTTAATTCACCACAATACCACAAGTTTCTAGGCTGTTTAACTTCTACAGTTAATTAAAAAAACATCTATTGTCTGATAACTGTGTACTTGTTAGTAAAATGTTTAAAAGAATCATGAGAAACTGTTGGATGGTAAAGTTATGAATAATTAGACATTGAATCCTTACTTTGACCTGTTTCTATTCACTTGAATGAAACTGTATACAATTGGATTCTTAACATGACCGTCATGAAACAAGAGTTCCTTTTTTTTATCTCTCTCAACATACCCGGAGTGGGTGGGTACGACATGATGTAAGATTAATGAATGTGCTTATTATATTTACTTCTTCCTACGAACGCCAAACTGCAAGTCTGAGTTTAGTTAGGATATAAAAAATAATAAAATCGTATCCAAGCAACTTACTCTTTATGCGCCTCCACGTCAGAGGGATCGAAAAGATATCGAACTTCAAAATCACCCAAAGACTTGGTGGCTTTGGTGCTTAACATGCGCATAGCAAGTACTACATCAAACGTCGTTTCTTTGTTGGGCAGTTGTTCAAGAATATCTTTCTCCGTACGAGGGCGCTACAAAGAAATATATCTGAAATTATAGGTTATGCAGTAATTTTTTACGGAATCGTAATAAAAATTTTAATATTTACTGTTAGTTATTGAATTTTTCGTTTGGAAATATCTTTTGACAAGAAACTTTTATTTAAGGATTTTTTAACCTAACAAAATCATCAAACACGTGCTACTAAAACGCATAATTAAAAAATAGTCATTCAATGCTAAATACGTCTTTTAACTAAATAGGTTATGCAAGAAACTGTTTGATAATAGGCGTAAATAACAAATAAATGAAACCAAAATAAGTTTGCTAATAAGCCTCGAATTAGTGTTGAGTTATTACACTACGTACTAAGTACAATCGTAATAAGAAAATTTATATCTCTGGATTGAATCTTAAAATAATTGTTAATAAATAAATACCAAATTTTCACTAAAAGAATATAAGATTAATGTGTATATGAGAAAATCATTAAGGCGACTAAGTTCGAAATCATAAAAATTCAAAATTATGCAGAAGAAATAAGTTACGAAAAAAACCATTATGACCTTTTATTGACCTTGAATTATTTTTAGCAACAGTAGTTTTCCAATAATAGTTGAAGAGAAAACTACTGTTACGTAAAACTTGTTGCCAATAATAGTAGAAGATAAAACTACTGTTACGTAAAACTTGTTGTCAATAATAGTTGAAGATAAAACTACTGTTGCGTAAAACTTGTTGTCAATAATAGTTGAAGATAAAACTACTGTTGCTTAAAACTTGTTGCCAATAATAGTAGAAGATAAAACTACTGTTACGTAAAACTTGTTGTCAATAATAGTTGAAGATAAAACTACTGTTGCGTAAAACTTGTTGTCAATAATAGTTGAAGATAAAACTACTGTTGCGTAAAAGTTGTTGTCAATAATAGTAGAAGATAAAACTACTGTTACGTAAAACTTGTTGTCAATAATAGTTGAAGATAAAACTACTGTTGCGTAAAACTTGTTGTCAATAATAGTTGAAGATAAAACTACTGTTGCGTAAAAGTTGTTGCCAATAATAGTTGAAGATTTAATACACACATCCTCTTTGTTTGTGCTATTTTACACCAGTTTCCGTTATCTTAAAGAACACTCATTTTCAACAAAATGTTTCAAGTTCCACTGATTCTTTCATTTGTCAATAATAGTTGAAGATAAAACTAATGTTGCGTAAAACTTGTTGTCAATAATAGTTGAAGATAAAACTACTGTTGCATAAAACTTGTTGTCAATAATAGTTGAAGAGAAAACTACTGTTGCGTAAAACTTGTTGCCAATAATAGCTGAAGATAAAACTACTGTTGCGTAAAACTTGTTGTATAGCACAAACAAAGAGGATGTGTGCATTAATATAGCACAAACAAAGAGGATGTGTGTATTAATATAGCACAAACAAAGAGGATATGTATATTAATATAGCACAAACAAAGAGGATGTGTGTATTAACATAGCACAAACAAAGAGGACGCGTGTGTGTGTTTATTAATATAGCACAAACAAAGAGGACGTGTGTGTCTTGTGTTGTACTTGGAGGAACAACAAAAGTTTCACGATGTGGATTACAGAGTGTGGATTTATTATGATTATTTTTGTATGCTTCCTTAACCACTTCTCATCAGAGTTAGGGGAAGCATGCTTTTATTTAGTGGTCGCGTGAGGATCGAAAATGACGTTAGATGAAAAGGGGTAACTAGTCGATTACGTTAGGGTTAAACTAGATCAATAGTGACAACCTTGTTATGTTGTAGAAGGCTGTTAATTAGATACCTGAATCTTGTGATATAACAGGTGGTATATATCGTTTAGAATATCGTAAAAATCGCCAATACAACAACTTTCTCACGTTAGGATGTAAAATAGCACGAGCTTGTTAATGTGTGTACATTTTTAACAGTGAGAGGCATCTGCAAGTTTCTCAAACAACTGACGTCACTATTTTCATACTGACGTCACTATTTTCATCGAATACGGAACCCGATGAGGGTACACTAAGCAAGCCACTATTTATATGCGTCGTGTAAGTAACTTATATTTTGTTACGTGTTTAACTTTGTTAAATGCCTTCTTTATATAAATATACATATTTCCTTATTTTGGGGTTTCTTTTACGTTGTTAGCTCGACATTTGGATTCTCAACTAATATAAATCTTAGTTTTTTTTGGTGTACAAAACTTGAAGATAGCTTTTATATGCGGGAACATCTGTTAGCTGAGTTCTTGCACAGATCTTAAAATATAACGTTGATAAACGGAAACATCGACACGTGAAGATCTTGAAAGTCGAGTTGTTCAAAACTTGAAAATAGCGTTGATAACTTGATGGTGGGAGTTATTTACTGGTTTATTTTGTGTATCTGATCTTTGTAGGCAGCTTGCTTTGATCAAAATTTGTTAATAAAACACTAAATGTTTTTGTTATATGTCTAATATTCGTGATAAGTTGTATATTTTGTTTATCAGAAGCCATTACTCAGTGTGTTTTTTTATTATTATTCTATATGCTGATGTTTTACCATCCTCAAAAAAGAATACACAGAAAAAAGGTTTTATCTAATCAGATAAACCGAATCTTTTACTTTGGAAACATCACTTATTTTTGTGATGTCAATTATTGTCTTTACTGCTGATGTCATTAACTGTTCACATACAGTTTTCACTGACTTCTTAAGCCTACTTACCTTGTCCCTCAAGATGACCCCTCTCATGGACTGTGGGTAGTTTGGGGGAAACGAACATTCATCATACTGCTGAAAGTTTACTGCTGCGTGGAAGACGGAACAGTTTGCTATTATGGCCGTCAGGGTTTCGATAATTTCTTCTACATTAGTGAATCCCAACTGATGATCCCCTGGGACACCCTGGAAAGCAACCAATGAAGTTTTTCACTTTTTTTTAAATAGATGGTGTAAGAAAAGAACGATGCCTTGACGATGTATTCAATAAAGGCTCCACCAAGCCACAAACTTTTTACAAACTCTTGTCTAAAGTTCAGTCAAAGAAGAAAATATTACTACATAAAATAAATAAGTAAATTAAAATGGGGATCGCAGTGTAAACTAGAAAGCCTTTGATGTATTGACACTTACATGCCTTAGTATAGTAATATAACTAAAACTTAATAACACTACACGTTTTCTTAGTCACATTTTTACATCAGTATCTATATCTCTCTCTCTCTCTCTGTCCATTTGTCTTTCTGTCTGCCTGGTTCCTCGGTGAGTCAGCGGTAAGTTTATGGACTCACAACGCTAAAATACGGGGTTCGATTCCCTGCGGTAAACAAAGTGCAGATAGCCATTGTGCAGCTTTGCGCTAACAGGAACAATTATCCACCCGTTTGTTTACCTCTCTGTCCGTTTGAATGTCTGTATATTTAAGTTTTGATAATCTCAACTAAAACTGTTCATATCATTGCTTTTTTTGTAAAGGTAATAACGTAATACCTTGACGTCACAACAAAGCCCGCTTCTGAAGGCATTCACTGAAAATATAAGGATGGTACTAACTCAACAGAACAATGGTAAAGACTTGGTGGTATTAAATCTCTAAGAGATACACTATTAAGGGATTATATTTATATTAATGTTAAATCACTGTCACCAAACATGCTCGCCTTTCAGACATGGGGGGGGGGCATTATAATGTGACGCTCAATCTCACCATTCGGTGGTAAAAAATTAGCCCAAGAATTGGCGGTGTGTGATGTTGACCAGCTGCTTTTCTTTTGGTCTATTATCACTTCAGAATTAGAGACGGCTATTGCAGGTTCCCTTGCTTTGCGTGAAATTAAGAAATAAACAAACATGACAAAAAATCTCCATTTTTTTTTAGTTTAAAACTTCCTCCACAAACACACTGATAATTTGTGTAATATAATAAACTTAGAACGAGAGCCGCTAAAAATACACAGGTCTGTAAAGCACCACATCATGAAATAAAATATATTTAACCATCGACAATTTTAACCTCGTTACACATTTAATGATCTTTCAGTAAGTTGATTATTCCATTCGGTGTCTCGGTCGTCTGCCCGAGGGCTTATAAGGTTAAAGTTCAAGGTTCAGTCCCTGCAGCTTTGTGCTTAACAATAAACATAATCTCCAGTAAACGACGTGAAGTTAAAGAAAGTCCAGCGCATTCATCTAAGCCTTTTCTTAAACTTCATCAAAAAGGTGAAATTTTGTAAATATTTTGAAATAAACTTTGCTGAAGATTGTGGTTTAAAGTTACATTTACTCTTTTCATAAAACTGGGTTAAATCTTGTCAAATAAAGGGCTGTGTTTGAGAGTAAGTAAATTATTGTACTCTTGTATGGATGATTTACATGTAATCTGCATGCTGACTACTTAGAGTGTGGCCTGATAGTTAGATGTTCGACTCGCGAATCAAGGGGGGGCATTATAATGTGACGGTCAATGGTCAATCCCAACTTTCTATAAGAGTAGCCTAAGAGTTGGCGGTAGGTGGTGTTGGCTACTTGCTTTCCCTCTATTGTATCACTTTTAAAATAGGGACTGCTAGTGCTGATAGCCCTCGTGTAGCTTTGCGCGATATTCAACAGAACAAGGAAACAAACCAGTAATACGAAACATCAAAGGAAAATTTACCATAATGTGGCAACCACCTTCCTCTCTAGTCTTAATCAGCTCTTCTCGCCAGTTCTGAAGCTCAGTATCTTCTGAAATTTGTCCATCTTTTTCTGGGAATAAATACATCATGGCGCTGAATACGTTAACTGAGCTACTAGTATATACTATACAATTTAGTAAAGCTTCTGAAAATCGTATAAGATGGAGTTAAACTGTATCTAAATCGGAAGGAATATTAAGTTTCTTCGTTATGATAAAATTGAACTTTTTGTTTGTGGGAACGATTTATGATACCGGACAAAAGAAGCTTGTGTATCATCAAACTGGATAATTATTTCTTTATATTGTTGAAAAATTAACATTTTAACTGAAATATATTATCGGAGGATATTACATCTGGAAACCTTTCTTCAAAGGTGAGGATTGCTCGAATAAATATGGTGAACCTTGACCAGAAGATGAGGATTGCTCGAATAAATATGGTGAACCTCGACCAGAAGATGAGGATTTGTCGAATAAATGTGGTGAACCTCAACCAGAAGATGATGATCATCGAACAAATATGGCGAATTTTGACAAACAGATGAAGATCAAGAGAACAAATACAAAAAACATCAACCTTGATCTAAATAAGAGCAACGCATTGATAAATACAGGGAATCTTGATCAAAAGATGGTAAGCACATTCATAAATAGAGAACTGTGGTCAAAGATCACGTTTAGTAAGGAACTACAAAGAATTGTCCACAGAAGATCAGGATCTTTGTAACACTTGGAAATTTTATTTAAAAGTAAACATCACAAAATACAATGATCATGGTTTAAAAAGATTCTTGTTATTAAATAAAACTGCTGATTTAAGGACGTCATAGATCATGAATCAACTGCGATACCTTATCATAGATGTGTTTATATACATTTACAGAGTGATAAGGATAATGGATAATAAGGCAACATTTTCTGTAGAACTTACCATAATGATGTTTGACTATTCGCGATACGTACTCGTGAATTGCTTTATAGACGTCCACAGAGTCATCCCGATACGGATAATACGGCAGTACATCCGGATCCATCACCTTAAAAAAGCCACAAGAAAAAAAATATTTGTGAAACTGTGAAGGGATTTCGTACTGCATTACAAAGTCTGTACTGTACTACGTAACGAATATATGTATCTCGACTATATAGTCTCTACGATATGCTACATAGAATATATAATTTAGTTGTATACATTATGGTTTATAAAAAAACTGTTTGCGTACGATGCATGGTACTGATTGACAAAAGAACTGAATAAGTTTTACTCGTTTTTGAAAATGTAATGTTTTTGTAATGTTACTAGACGTTTGAGATTTTACACTACGAACTATTTCTGATATGAAATAATTGTTGCAATTAATATATTGTTACTTTCCTTTAGATATTTTACACTACGAACTGTTTCTGATATGAAATAATTGTTGCAATTAATATATTGTTACTTTCCTTTAGATATTTTACACTACGAACCGTTTCTGATATGAAATAATTGTTG